CAGAATCAGAGAAACAACCAAATGCAAAATGTGAATCAGTCAAAAGAAATGTTCAGACGTTCACTAAAAATACGAGATGATATGATAAGTTCTACTCCGGTATTACCATTCAATTCTACAATGCCAGATAAATTTAATTCCATAAATGGGTTTACCAATTCGGGTAATTACTACAATGTTAATGGTCACAAAAATCACCAAAGACTATTAAATATTAACTCTGGCAATAACTATTATCCACCTGCTAGAATAAACTATACAATTAATACCCAGCAAAATAATAATACTAATAATAACATGAACAATAACAATATGAAAGATCTTGGTCCTAATATTAAAAAACTCTTACGTGTTCAACAAGGTACTAAGCCTGAAGATATGTCCTTACGTCCAGCTGCAAATAGTATGTTATGTAAACAAATTCAAATAAAGCCACCACCAATATCTATGACTCATATAGGTCAATCAAATCAGATAAAGTTAACAGAAGTACAACAAATTCAGATTAAACAAAATTCACACGATAAACATAAAAACCTGAAAAAAGATAAGGGCGTTTCTAAAGAAGAAGCTATAAAGAAAGGATTAGATATTTTAGATAAACTTGGCACAGATCCATCCATGGATGCTATGAAAGCAGCAAAAGCATTTTCAGATATAAAAGTGCCTGATCGGTTTTTAGCAGATGTTATGTATGTTCTTCTTTTTGAACGGTTTCGTAAGAGAGTTGATTTGGATGAAGAATTACTTTTCCGTTTCACTCAGGAAACCAARAAACAAAGTATTATTTCTGAATCTATTGCCATAGATTGTTTAAAACGTTTTATATTGAAAGGACCGGAGTATGAGTCTGATGATGATAAAACTTTATATAAACGTTTTTCTAAATATGCCGCTGAAATCTGTCAAAACGTATCTTCTATATCAGAACTTGCAGAGGTATCAGAAAATGGCAAAAGATATCCAGCGTTTTTAATGGTCTTACAAGATTTGAATGAAGTCATAGGAAAAAATGAACTGACAACTATGTTCAAAGAAAGTAAAGTCAATTTACTAAATACTCTACCTGAATCTTTAAGAACAAAAGAACARCTTGCAGAAATCTTACAAGAACGTAATTTAACTTTCCTTTTCCCATTGCTACGTATACAATCTGACTTGTGGAAACAAATTACTAGTGATCCAAATCCAACTCAATTTTATAAATGGATTAAAGAAAATTTAGATCCCGTCCATTATGTCGATCCTGGTTTTATAACAGCGTTGACCACTGTGTTGGTTAAATTTATAACACAAGAGGCAAATAGTACTGAAGTAAATGTCTCTAAAGCTGATCTAGAAAAGGAAAAAAGTCTTCTTGAAAAATTCAAACCAATTATGAGAACATTTTTCGATGATCAAAATGATCTGCAAATGAATGCCATCTATGCACTACAAACATATTTTTTCTCACTTGATTTTCCAAAAGGCTTGTTGTTAAGATGGTTCAATTTAATGTATGAGTTGGAAATTGTTGAAGAAGAAGCTTTCCTGAAATGGCGTGAAGATGTAACAGATGCATATCCAGGAAAAGGCAAAGCATTATTCCAAGTAAACACTTGGCTGACTTGGTTAGCTGAGGCAGAATCTGAAGATGAAGAAGATGATGACGATTGAAGTTATAGTTTAACTAATTAAATATCATTCTATTCTGGTTTTTGGTTCTCTTGTAGCTTTAATGTTTGTTTTTTTTTTCAACRTTACTCTTATTTTATTTTGTGTGTGCCTCGATTATGGAGTTTAAATCACTTATACTGCCACCAGTCTTATGCTAATAGTAAAATTATTAATTATGACACTACATGAAATAAATTGACGACCTCTTATTTATATATTATAATTTTTTATCCATCTAAAAAAAAATTACTAATGTCTGTGTTATACTCTAAATTATACTATCTCRTTTTGGTTTATCATTTACTCATTTACTTGTAATTGAATATACATAACATAACTTGTTCAATTATTCATTGATCAAATTTTCTCACTTAATATCATTTGTGTCAAAAACACTGAAATTATCAWTTTATATAAATAAATGTGTGTTAAATAATGTAATAATACACCAAATCATTTTAATATTACTCAGTAAATCCAAAAATCTCACAAAATGTTCATAATATAACAAAAATAAATAAACAGTTTTGAATGGTAAAATTACAAATTGATTACATGACTTAATTATTATGTTTGTAGTATTCAAATATTGGACAATATTACAGAATTAATTAGTAGTGTATTTGCTAACTATCACTGATTTGTCTAATTTTTTTTTATTATAATTATTAAAAACTAGGTACTTTTTAGTCTACTTAGTT